GCAAAGATGTATCTCGCAAATTATTTGCAATCGCGTTCGATTTGGAGTAACATCTGACGTTAGCATAGGAAATTACATCGTGGATTATTGTTATTATTATAATCACGATTCAAAAACCGGTGTCAGAACTCGCTTGCTCGACATTCATCTCGTTCAAATCGGGGTGATGTCAAAGAACAATTATATAATAATTTTTTTCCCAAACACGCACAACAATCATCTCAAAATAAGATTACCCTTGAAACGACTATTAAACTTTTCATGTACATTTCACTGAAACGGATCAATAAATCACACAGGTTATACTACTACTCTACTGCGATTCGATATATCTTGAATCAATTCCAAAAGATTGAAATTCAGAGAAAACACAGCAATTTGTAGAGAAATTGATATATATTCCGCAAGCGTTTGATAGCTCATGCAAGAATATTAGCGCCATCATCAACCGTTGTATGAAACGAGATTATCCATAATATCAACCCTAATATACTCCCACCCTCTTAAGTAACCCACCGGTTAAGGATACAAAGCGGTTATTTATCGCAGCTTCAGTTTTCAGGAATTTCACGTACATTCCAGGGACGTCTTGTAGTCAGAAAGCGCGTGTTTCGGTGCCATTCGGTCACTCGATACAATACACTTGTGAAGGGCGGATTCATACGTTCCGATCTCGACAATTGACTCCACTTTGATCTTTGACCTAAACTCAAAAGAAAAAAGAAGTAGAACCATCTCGAAACGCTTGAGATATCTCTCGACGCAATTTGCATTCTGAACTTTTATGTACAAGCTTTCTCATGCTTTTTTTCTGTCTCTTGACATTTGACATATTACAGGATCGCATTGATAACGCAAAAGTAAAGTTGAAGTCGCGCCGATTTCATTTCTGTGAAACTCATAATGCGAAACTGAACTCCATCAGTCTCGCCTCATCGTCAATTTCATCGTCGATACATCGAAGATGTAATAAACTAGGACTTTAGAGAACGTTGAAGAGTCCGGAGACAACGCACCCCTTTCTTCCCTTCCCATCCTCCAACATCGGTCCTTTAACATTTTATAAATTGCATGTAAGACGACTTCTCTACTTCACACACACACACACACCTGAGTCGGAGA